AACCGGCCATCCCTATGTAGGATCTGAACCCGTGGCCTTGGTGCCATCAGCACCACACTCTCCCGAGTGAGCCACGGGCCGGCCCTTAAAGAGATTTATTTATTTATTTATTTATTTTTAAAGATGACCGGTAAGGAGATCTTAACCCTTGACTTGGTGTTGTCAGCACCATGTTCACCCAGTGAGCTAACCAGCCATCCCTATATGGGATCTGAACCTGTGGCCTTGGTGCCATCAGCACCGCACTCTCCCGAGTGAGCCACGGGCCGGCCCCACACTTAACAATTTTTAAAAATTCTTTAAACGTTATGTCATAAGTAAAATATGACATCTCAGACATACTTTGAGTAAACTATTCTTTTTTTTTTTAAAGTTAATTTGGGCAAAAAGACTCGGAAGAAATATATCCAGGTGTTAATGGTACCTGTGTTAGATTAGGGTATTGATATCATAAACACATTCTCATCTCTGAGTTCCAATTTTTGGTTTTTTTGGTGGCTGGCCAGCATGGGGATCCAAACCCTTGACCTTGGTGTTACCAGCACTACTACTCTCAGTACCGACTGAGCCACCTGGCCATCCCTGAGTTCCAGATTTTTAATAATTTAGACATCTTTGGTTTATAATGGAAAAAGCAAATTTGTGATGAAGTATCCTGTTTATCTTTCTATTGTCTTAATATTATATATGAGTTGGTTGAAATTTGATATTTAATAATGAAATTCTTGTGAATTAGAACAATGGCAGATAAATTCTTTGCTTACTCTATTATATTGCTAACAGGGAGTATTGATGGTTGGCCCACCTGGCACAGGAAAGACCCTCCTTGCTAAAGCAGTAGCTACAGAATGCAAGACAACATTCTTCAATGTCTCTTCATCAACTCTGACTTCTAAATATAGAGGAGAGTCTGAGAAGCTTGTTCGTCTTCTGTTTGAAATGGTGAATGTTTGATACAGTTTTAGTGATTCTTTACCTCTAAAAAAAGGGGAGAGTGAGTTGTAACTATCTTCAGTGTATAGAATAGCTAGGCAGGATGATATTGTGCCCAGAGTATGATTCCTGTGCCCTTGAAGCTAGCATTCTTTACAAACATGAATAACTTGAGTTTCTTTTTGTCTCCTTTCCTCCAGGGGTAGATCCTTATGTGTTAGTTTATGGGCATGCTCACATTATGGGATCTGCATTACTAATCTGCTATAGGAATTTGAAATTGTTATGTTTTTCAAATCAATAAGCTTAGTCATAATATGGGTAAATGCAGTATTGTAACTAATGCCAAAATGTGAGAATCGTAAGTAGTTGTGGTACTTAGATCACCTCCAGTTTATTAACTATATCAAATACCTTAAGTTTAATGACTCAGTCTTTGGATTAAGTTCTTTGCTTCATTGAGTTTCTTTTTCTTTCTTCCACCCCCTCAAATTTGAATACCAGTGGAAGAAATATAATTCAACAAGTTCTGGTAGAGTGTTTGGACTCAATTCAACAGCCTTAACAGACCTCTTTAAAGAGATGTAAGCTAAGTAGAGCGGTTAGTTAAGTGTTGAGTCTTTAGAGTCAAGTGGCCTAGGTTCAAATCCCACCTCAGTCACTTTCCTGGCTGGTTAACTATGGGCAAATTCCTCCCCTTTTCTGATCTTCAGTTGCTTTATTTCCAAGACAGGACGATAATATAAGACCTACCTTTGTAATGTGAGAAGGGTGAAACGAGCTAAAATGTGTAAGTTGCTTAATAAGTCTGATTCATAAGGGTTCAGTAACTTTTAGTTGTTTCTGTTTAAGAATTATTTGGTATATTTTCTAATGTAGGGTTTTATATTCAAGAAAACTGACCATTTTCTTCTGTGGACGAAAGCCTCCTACACTCAGTGCTAATGTGCATTATTTTTTATAGTGAGGTTTATGAAGGCATATCAAAAAGCATTATTTTTTACTGGCTTCCCTGAAGTTGCTCGGGAAGATCTTAACCATCATTAAATAAACCCTTGCTCATCTGGAGTAAACTACTTTGAGGTGCCACTTGAGTGGTGGCTCAATTATAAACCAGTGCCTGCAGTTTGGATCTTCTGCCCTTGTGACCAAAAGTTATGGTTCATATTTGAAACCAGCTTGTGTTTTTTTCTGTTCATTTCCTTTTCTCAAGGAGTAAAATTGTACTGCCACACATATCTTGGTTTTGACTCTGTAGATGATTACCTCTCTCATTATGCCTTCCTCCTCTCAGAATCCCTCAAAGTGAATTTTGAGCATGTCTCAAGGTCTATACTTTAAGTAAGAGCCTTAAATTTGGTGAAAATCTGTCCACGATTTTTCACATGACATGGTAATAAATGCACACAAAAACGTAATTGTATACTTTGTTGTATTATGAAATTTTATTTTCAAGTGTCAAAAACCCAGTCAAATGAGTTTAAGCAAAAAGAATAATATATTGGGTCATGTAACTGGCAATTTAAAGAAGTTACTTTTTTTCCAGGCCTAGCAGGATGCAGCAATTCAGAGGTCCTCAGGAATCTTTCTCTCTGACTTTTGGCTCTTTCTGTTTCTGGGTTTGCTTAGACTGCAGGCAGGCCCATGTGGTGGTAACATAGCTATCAGAGGCTTAAGCCTTATTTTTATTGTTCTTATGGTAATCCCATAGAAAGCAGCCCTCATTTCTCAGTTGTTCTAGCAAACGGTCAGGGATTAATGTTCGGCCAGTTTTAAGTCATGTGTCCATACCTGAACCCATTGTTTTAGTCAGAGGATTGGAGTGATCTGATTGGCCAGGCCTGAATAATACCCCTGGCCTTCAAGTATGGTGGCCTCCTTTAAAGTAGTGGAGTAAGAATGAAAGAGGGATGACATACAAATGAAAAAGAGGCTTCTCTTACCAGAAGAAGGGGTGCTATAAGGCAGAACAAATTGGTGTCGACTGCAAGTCTGTCTTTAGTACCTTCCCACGCCAGCCAGAGCCCATTTTGCATGTCACATGGCCTCTGCCTGAAGTCAGACCACTGGGAAGAATCAGTTTAGTAGTTTTTGTTTGGTGTGGCAACAATAGATTGAAATTTAATTTTTGTTGATGTAGGTTCTTCTGTTAGTAGAAGGTTTCTCGCTAGAATTTCAATTGAGAATTTTCTTGGGTGCTTTGATAAGTTCCTTCTTTCCCTCTGTCCATTTCTAAAAAAGGAATTACAAAAATTTTTACACATAGTACCTAAAACCCAAGTAATGAGTCTTTATTAAAAATGAAATTGTCCCATTGGAGGGAATAGATGATTTAAGGATTCAAATTTTCAAGTAGAAAAGAAAGTGGGATTTAAATATTTGGATTTTTCAAGTGAACAGATTAAAACATTATGCTAAGTGAAAGAAGCCAGACATGAAAGGCCACATGTTGTATGATTCCATGTATATGAATAGGAAAATCCACAAAGACATATAGTAGATTAGTGGATGCCTGGAGCTAGGGAGAGAGGGGATTGTGGCTTATCTTTTTGGAGTGATGAAAATGTTCTGCAATTAGCAGTGACGGTTGTACAACATTGTGAATATATTAAACACTGAATTGTATACTTTGAAATGTTGAATTTTATGTAATGTGAATTTTATCTCAATTAAAAAAAAGGGTCCATGGTTGATCAGATAAATTGAAAAAAAAAAAAACCTCAGGACATATAAATTGATTCTTCTAAGTGACTACTTATGATTATTAAAATATATTTCTATCAGTCAAAAGAAAAAAATGGCAATTTAACTAGAATTTCTTGGAAGGAATCTCTGTGATTTTATTTAAGGTAATGGTTCTCTTTAACCACATTTTTTCTAGAATTTTAGAATATTTACCAATATCTGCTTTCCCATCATAGTTATCTGTGTCACCACAGTATGCAGGAAAACCTTGTATTTTTATCACTCAAATAAATATACCCAATTATATTATTGAAAGGAACAAAGAATATATATATATAATATTTAAGTATATAGGTCTGCATTTAGAAGCTATATTTTAGCTGTTCCAGTTCTATCCTCTCCCCCCAATATTAGGACAAGAGGGAGAGATGCACAGTGTGGTAGTCTCCTTAGCTATTTCCTAATTGCTTACTTGTAGATTACTTTAAAATGAAATAAAAACTTGGTGTCGCATGATTTCTTTCTTTAGGCTCGATTTTATTCTCCAGCCACCATATTTATTGATGAGATAGATTCCATTTGTAGTCGCAGAGGGACTTCTGAAGAGCATGAAGCAAGCAGGAGGGTGAAAGCAGAGCTGCTGGTTCAAATGGATGGTCTGTATATATGTGGATATGCAGGAATTGACTTGGGGTGGGCGGCTGGGGAGCGTCCCCAGCTTCAGCGGGTCAGGCTGTACCCAGAATGCTAACCCAATTCTTTTTATAGGTGTTCATAACTCTAGGTGGACTAGAGGGGGAGAGCAAGTAGTTCCTAGAGATTGATAGCAGCAAATTTGGTACACTGACAACGGTGATGTCAGAAACAATGGCCATCCACAGGACACCCTGATCTCTTCATTTTTAATACCCTGATCTCTATTTTTAGCCAATAAATGTAGATACATTGGCCTTAGAGGTTATGTATGTTTTCGTAACATTTTTTTAAATTGGCATGTAGTTGAGCTGAGCTGGTCTTTTGATTAAATCCATTTTGATTCATATTTTTGTATACTACAAAAATTCATTTTCCTTGGATTACAAATTCATATATATACCAGTTAGCATTCTAAGTCTTAAGGAGGCTTAAAGACTGCACTACCTTGTATTATTGTGCTAAATATTTGATGATCTTTAAATAGTTGGGCTTGGTTCAGGCCATTCTTGCCATGATGCCCTTGACACCACAGGACTCTATAGGGAGTCACCACCAAAAAGGAGTCACCACCAAAAAGAAGGCCCTCACCAGATGTGAATCCTGTAATGTGGACTAACCAGCCTCCAAACTGTGGGAAAACTGAGGGCTGCAGAGATTTATCAACTGAACAGCACAGGCGCACAAATCTGGTCTATACCCCCTCCCACAACCTGGGTGGACTGTGAACCTCCTGGTAGTAGGGCAATGACCACTCCATCTCCATATGATCCCAGCCCTCTGCCTGGCAGAAGTGGGGCTCAGGGAAGAGAGCTTGTTGATAAATATTTACCAGCATAAATATTTACTCCCCCCAGCCCTCCATCTGTCCTGCTTTCCAGGCCAGGGACCCAGGGAATCCTGCAGGTCTGAGGGAACTCATGATAAGCCACATGGCTGTGCTGGGGCATCACCGCCTGCCCAAGCTGCACTGGGCTGGAACCCAGCCCCAGGCCCTTGATCCTTCTGTCTTCACACCAATTCTGCACAACTCAGGAACTGAGAACCCCAAGCTTGAAGCCATACAGTCAAGAATGGCCATGGGCAAGTTACTTTAGTTGTCTTCACTCCAGGGTTCTCATCTGCAGTATGGGAATCAGTAAAGAGCATGACCCTAAAGTCACACTTCCACTGTTCACATTCAAGTTCTGTCCATGGGACCCCCGGCAAGTTAGTGACCTCCTTGAGCATCAACTTCCTTATCTTCAAAATGGGGATAATAGTTCCTGTTTCATTAAGATGTCATGAAAATAAAGTTATGCCTGTAAAAGAGCTTAAAAAATAGTTGAGCTTTTTTACTTTCTCTCCTTATCCTTCTTTTAGGTGTTGGAGGTGCTTCTGAAAATGATGACCCTTCCAAAATGGTTATGGTTCTGGCAGCTACTAATTTTCCCTGGGATATAGATGAGGCTTTAAGACGACGTCTTGAGAAACGAATCTATATTCCTTTACCATCAGGTATCTCCATTTATAGCTTGTCAAAAAGCTCCTGTTAACTTTCAGGTAGTTTTGCTTAGAGAATTTAAAATTTGGTGTTAATTAACTTTCTTAAAGAGATAAATGTAGAGTAAGTTTCCCTATATTACAAGTTTGGCTATATCTAGAACCTGAAAGCCTTGGTACTAGGAAATTAAAAATTCAGTGAGGAACAGCCTTGAAATTTCAGGCAAGTGGGCTCTAATAATTGGAAAACAAATCACACAAAATAGACTTGAGAAAAAATAATGCACTATGTTTATGTTGAAGGCTTATATTTTTAAATTTGTTTGTACCATTAGCAAAAGGCAGAGAGGAGCTATTACGAATAAGTTTACGTGAGCTGGAATTGGCTGATGATGTTGACCTTGCAAGCATAGCAGAAAACATGGAAGGTTATTCAGGTGCGGACATTACCAACGTGTGCAGGTATGAATTATTTTGGAAGCAAGGTTTTTGTGTGCATAAACTTCTATTATGAAGTTTTTATGGTGAATTAAGAGATGAAGAATAAAGACCTACATTGCATTATATAATCAGAGTCACAAGTTTTGGTTTTAAGTTAGTATTAGCAGGTGCTGGTAAGATACTTGGGAAACTTGCATGTTGTTGAAGAGTCTGCAGTTCATTTAAAAGCTACACATTTAAGAAGCTAATGTTGAAACAATTTGTGTAAAATAGAAAATCAGTAATTGTCTTGGATTAAAAAATTATTGGTGCATCCCTGCACTATACTGTCATATAGGAAATTATTGTGAAATAAACTGATTTGCATAACCACATAGTATTGTCTAGTTTTCAGTAAATGTATACTAAATGTGATAGGAAAGGAAGAAAAGTCTCTAACACAGCTGATCCAAGTAGGTTTTGTCCTAATCAAAGTATTAGCTCAGATGTTTATTAGCACGGGGCTTGACTGCAATAGTTTCTCATCTCTAAAGTGAGCATATTATGCAGGGTTATGAGAATTAGAGATAACGTGTGTATACATAAAGCAGCTATATTGCTGTCCCTTTGCATAAATGGTGGCTGCTATTAAGGATGAAACTTGGTGAAAGGAAAGAGGCACTTGAATCTGAACTTTCTCCTTTTTAGAATTTTATTTAAAAGACACTAATGGGGCTGGCCAGTTAGCTCAGTTGGTATTGCTAACAACAAGGTCAAGGGTTCAGATCCCAGAACTGGTCAGCTGCCAAAATAAACACTAATAGAGGAAAAGAAGAAACCACCTAATTTGGTCAACTGGCTTTTACTCTACATGAAGAAAATATTTAATTTTCTAGCTAACAGGTTCTCTTGTCTCTGTGATGCTTATTCTTTTTTATTGAACACTTATAATAAAAATCAATCTTAGCTTCTTTAAAAGAATTGTACTTTTACTTTTTCTTGGGCCTTATGCTTAGTATTAATTATTTAAATTGATTAGCACCCTACTGGAATGCAAGCCCTCAGAACAGGTCTTGCATTCCAATGTAAGATTCTATGCAATAGTACCTATGTATATGTAATAAGTTCATAATTAGAGAATGTTACAACATGCATTGAAAATTTTTCTACTCGCAGATTTTCATTCAGACAACTTAACACTTTGTGGGTTTTTTTTTTAAACTTCAAACCTAGGGATGCATCCTTGATGGCAATGAGAAGGCGTATTGAAGGTTTGACCCCAGAAGAAATCCGAAATCTTTCAAGAGAAGAAATGCACATGCCTACAACTATGGAGGATTTTGAAATGGCTTTAAAAAAGGTTTCTAAATCAGTATCTGCTGCAGACATTGAAAGATATGAGAAATGGATATTTGAGTTTGGATCATGCTAAATTCTCACATGTAAACTGTAAACTGTGAGAAACCTGTCTAAGTGTTTGAGTACTAATTAAATGTAGTGTTTCATTGCACTGAGTGCTATATTTTTTTAAACTTTCATAATGGTAAGATTCTTAAAAATCTCTTATGATTCTGAATAAAGCCAATTTTTTTTGTTGCAAATTTGTTTTACTTTAGCATTACTTGATTTCTGTTTCACTGACCAAAAATGTTGCAACACAATGTTACTTAGCTTGGAAAGTTGTCTTTATATGCACTAATCAGTATAGCATCTTCTCTCCCACTGCCTGCTGTTACTCCTTCTAGGGAGAAGGTGATTGGCTCTACCTCCTTAGGTGCCAGTGGGTACTGAAAATTCCTGAATGTTGTTATATAAGTAGCTAATTAAAGCATGAGCCAGGCCCAATGTGCCTTTCCTCCCACTGATATTATGGTAGCTTTCCTCCTCTTCCTAGGAGTTTTTTTTTTCCGTGGCTGGCTGGTATAGGGATCAAGCCCTGGAACTCGGTGTTATTAGTACCACAACTCTAACCAACTGAGCTAAGCGGCCAGCCTCTGGGAGAGTTTTAAAGACTCTTCATTTTACTATGCATTTAAAAAGGAATAAAAAAACCCCACAATCTTGCTTAACTTTATGCTGCCTACATAAGGAGCTGTCATGTAGGCAAGCAGGTATTTTTAAATCTATGCTGCTCATTATTCTATAATGAAACTCATTCACTCATGGATACTAAGCATAACTAAAATAATGGTATCAAGTTCATAAATGAAATAAAAGTTAATGATATAAAATTTAGTTAAGATTTCCAGTTTGGTTACTTACAAGAAAATAATTTATTGTATCATCCCAACCACAGAAGAGAAAACAGAGCCTCAAAGAGGCTGTCGTCCCAAGTCTCACTGTAAAGGAGAGAAGCCAGGATAGGAGGGATCTAACTGCAAAGCCTACACTCTCCAATATACCATGCAGCCTCCTAAATTTTTTTCCTCTCTAGAATCTATAAACCTATGGTTAATGGATAAAATAAGACCCTGTTATCATTTGGAGTTAGAATTGCTTTCTCATAACTTATGGAATGAGGAAGGGCATAAAGACAGTGTCACTAACTGGTAACAGTATCAAATTACAAATCGCATGCTATTATTCTGCAATGTGGAGATCGGAATGATAGCCCTATGAAATGTACTAATTAAAAATAGGGAAAATGAAAAATCACTCCTTTCTCCTTTAGTCCAAATATAAAATGATTAAAAAAAATAAGCCATCAGTTGGGCAGGCAGCTCTCGCCCAAGCATTGCATGCCTTTCAGTGCCGTGCCCTGGGACCCCACCGCCTTCCCCAGAGCCCCTGGCCTGCCTGGCCCTCCCTGGCCATGGAGCTGTGCTGGCGCATGGCCAGGTTGGGGGCACCCTAGCCGGACTCAGTGGAGCAAGTGCAGAGCTTCCCGTCTTGGATCCAGGCCCTCAGGGACTTGGAGGGCATGTTGGCCATTTCACCTGTGGGCTTGAACTTATCTTTGGACCAAGATCTTCCTTAGAAACTGCTACAAGAGGGCCGGCCCGGTGGCGCACTGCTATAGTGCGCCGCTTGGGAAGCGCGGCGGCGCTCCCACCGAGGGTTCAGATCCCACATACAGACCGGTTCCCGCTCACTGGCTGAGCGAGGCGCGGGAGCAACACCGAGGGTTGCGATCCGTTGCCGGACACGGAAAAAGACAAAAAAAAAAGAAACTGCTACAAGATTTGACCTCATGTCCCTGACCTCTTTGCATGCTTTTCCAGGCCTTCGTATATCCACTTAGGGCTGTGGGGTGGTGGCTGCCCTATTTTTGCCAAAATTTTTTTAAAACTTCTCATATTAAAAATGGTTTTTAAGTATTAAAAAAAGAGCTATTACTTTCTTGGACAATGTTTTCAAAATTATGGATTACAATCAAAATTTTTAAATGAAACAATGGAAATTATCACATGGAGTAAAGGTAAGTTATATGTACCATGTCACATCATAAAATGTATGTCAATATGAGCAATGATTTACGAAAGTAAGATATAACACTTGTAGGATAAATAGCACTATACCTAGAACCATAAAACCAAGGACACTCTTAATTCCATGACGTTGACAGGCTCAACCGACTTGAGCCTTAGATTTTAGCCAGTGTACATGAAAGGAACTATACCTACACTTATGTACATACAGGTCATTTTCACCTGGCCAAAGTTTTTATATAATTGTAACCAAAGCAGCTGTACTTATTTCCTCAAAAAAATTTATTTTAGAGTGAGAACACGTCATTACTACTTTTAAATCCTGGTACATTCAAAGTAAGTAGTCTTGGTACAGGACAGAATCAAATCATGATACACTTCAGTGATTTTTATAGTCACATACTTAATATAAAGGCACATTGTACTGAATAAAAAAAATAAGTGTTAAGTTCTTGAGCTTTTAAATTAGAATTTTATAAAGTGCTTTTCATAAAGTCATATAGTAATTAAGTGGATATAATTTCCTTAACAAAGGCACCTTGAAAAGTTATTGGCACATGGCATTTTGTTTTGCTGCCCCCTTTTTTTCCCTCCTTTTTGGTAATTCCAAAGTCTCTTCACATGTCTTCTCTTCCACTTGTTTAAATTTTCCTTAATAATTCCCCATGTGAATAGCTAGCCCTTATACAAAATAAGATGAACTTTAACTTGGCACTATAAAGGTCACTCTTCAGACAGTCTTAGGAGTTTAGCAGTTTCTTTAGTGTATAAACTGATTCTCAAGGATTTAAAGAAAATTATATTCAAGTGGCAAATTTGGAGCCAACAGACTAATTCAGAGTGATGATTTGAGATGGTGTTTTAAATACATGTGTTATCTTCAAGGTTCTTTGCTGTTTTCTCAGGACCATCTGGATGTAAGTTGATAGCTGTCACAGGTATAAAACTCACTTGATCCAACTGAATAATTCCTCTGAAATATAAGATGATTATTTACCATCAAAATTAAATATTTCCCCCACCTATAGTTTGGTTAGTTAGACAGGGTTACTTCAAGATTATAACTAAATATATACTTAAAAGTTAGGTGTTTCTGCTTCATTCTATTTAATAGTTTATAATAGTTGTACAAACTCTGAGTCCAAAGTTCAACTTAACCAAACTGACTGAAGGAATAGAAAGGTTCAGAGGAAGTTCATTATTTGGTACTATAGGGAAGGAAAGGATAGGGTAAGTATAGATCATCAAGGCAGACATTCAGATCTCTAGATTCGCACAGGTTGGGTGAAAAGACTAGGACTAAGCCCAAGCAGCTTTTTAAACAGTACTTACCACTGGAATGTAACCTTAGATTTTTAAACAACATTTCTCTTTTTGTTACTAAAATACCTGACTAGAGAGTAGGTCCTCTGGTAATGTAAGACCCTGTAATGTAAGTTCAATGTTCTCCCAATCAATACATCAAGAGGTTAGTTGTTCATAGAACCAAACAAGCTGATTCTAAAGTTCACAGAGAAGGAACTACAAGAATAGCCACAATAATTTTTAAAAATAACAATGGAGAAAAGAAAGAGTTGCCCTGACCAGCTATCACAGGTTTTATTAAAAACCTTGTAGTAATTAAAACTGCTATTGGCACAGGAAGAGACAGATCAGTGGAACAGAAGGGAGTCCAGAAACAGACTAATGTATAAGGGAATTTTAATTTATGGTAAAGTAACACTACAAGTCAATGGCAAGTTACTAATGCAACAATAGCCTCTCCGTTTGGAAAACAAAATCAGACCTCTAGCTTAAACTATATAAAAAAGTGATGGTAAAAAAATAAGTTTTAAGGCTGGCTGGTTAGCTCAGTTGGTTAGAGGGTGGTGCTGATAACACCAAGGTCCAGGGTTCAACCAGGATTCAATCCCTTACCAGCCAGCTGCTCCCACAAAAAAAAAGTCATAGAAAAGTAAGTTTTAAGAAAACACATAATTTTAGGCTGGGAAAGGCCTACTGACATAAAATAAAAATGCTAACAGCCAAAAAGGAATAACTTGAATTGTTTAGACCTCAAATTTAAGTGAGAACACTGAACTTCGCCTGAGCCCCATTTTCCCAGCAGACAGCAACGGCGGAAGCAGAGAGAAGAAACATAGAAGCCTTTTGGTTCCCCTTCCATCTCTTCCTGCCAAGTCCTTCTTCCTGACCTACCTGTACCCAGGACAAACAACAACGGCTCTGAGACTGTAGATCCAGAGAAAAGATGGCGACGGGTCTGGAGCGGCCGCGTCAGGAAACAGCGCGATCCTGAGAGCTGTGTGCTGTGATACCAGAGTATTGACTGCATTTCCAAGAGCAACAAAGGACGAATAATTCTTTCAACAACGATCCTACATCGATAAACGGCAGCGGGTTCGAGGTTTTGGGGCCAACATGGAGAAGGACTCCTGGGGACGCCCAGGCCCGGCTGCGGGAACAAATTAACGGCCCAGACGGCAAAGACCAGGAAGCCAGCGGAAGACTACGCAGAGGCAGACTGAAGCCCCCCGGACGGCCCACCCTGCGACCTCTGTGAGTCACCCCCAGCAAAGTCCCACTTGCGGGGCGAAGCCCGACTACTCCCTGCCCGCCTGGCCCCCGCCCATCACACCAGGCTGGGAGCCCACAACAAAGCTGCCTCCATTTCCTAGGGTGGGCTCTGGGAAGGCCGGCATTGTGAGGGCAGGCCAGTCATCTCTGTTTGGCGTGGCTCCCCGCTGGGACGTGCTATTTGCTTACCTTGACGCGGGGCACCCCGGGGCCTGTGGACCAGCCTATAATCCCACTCTTCCCGCGGGTCTCAGACGGGGCTGGCAGCGTGGGAAGTCCCCGGCCAGCGTCGGGGGGGGCTGGGAAGAGAAGCCCGCCCAGATCGTCTCTCCGCCACACCCTGGGCGTCGGCCACAGATAACCTCCCTCTTCCCGAGAGGCAGATTCCATCTCTGGGGACCTCAGTTTGGAAGAGCCCGTAACTGATTTCTG